AGCATCCACTGTGCCAGGCTGGTTCTGTGAGGATGGTGGGAAATGAAGACACAGTCCTGACCTGAGAAGTTTTTTTCCATAGAGGGAAGAGATAAGAAAACATCCAGTCAGTAGTGTACAGTGGAATGTGGTGATAGTGCTTATTCTTTGGAAGCACAGGAAAAGCTCTAGAGGAACTTGTGTCTAAAGAATCCATATAGTTGTTACATGTTCATCACATCCAGATTAATTGCATGTGTTATCATTTTTAGAAGTGTATTTGGAAATAATCTTGGAGTCATGGTGAGCCCAAAGTGTTAGGATAAATGTATTCTAATTTTTCTAATTTGCTTTTAAGGTTGTCTGTTGTCATAATATCTGTCATTTCAATTTTGTGATAGCCGTCCAGTTATCAGTACAATCAGTGCAATCAAAACAGAAATCCTGAAATCAGATTTTTATTTGCTACCAAAGTAATGCCTATTTCTCTAGCATTTATTTCCTTTCATAAACATGATGCACATACACCTTATTACTTTGACTGCAAAATGAGTGGAACTTTTCAGACAGTATTTCTCTGAGGTCCTGATAGGGAACAATTTATGACAGTATTCCTTTCACTTGATATGAATTCAGGTATCAGAGTCCTTTCTGTTAGAATCGCTTCTTACATCTGGAATCTAAACCCCAAAGCTAACTTACAACAGATTTTTTTTCAGGTATTGAGGCTTATTAGAATTAAAAAAAAAGTGTAATTATGTCTCATAAAGTGAGAAACCACTGAACATAGCAATGGTGTGATCTAAAGTACTTATTTTTCTGTCATCTGAAACTTCTTTGTCATTCCTGATTTTCTATATTAGTGGAGTAGGTAGTACCTGTCTGTTATCAGTTGGTCTGGATAGTCATTTGAGACATTTCTGTGCTTTCATTTAATATGTTTTTATTTTAAAGTCCTTAAGTTCAGAGTTCTGAAAACTTACCATGCATATATGGGTTACCTGGATATCTTGTTAAAATGCAGATTCTGAGCCAGGCATGGTGGTGCACGCCTCTCTCTCATCCTAGCACTGAGGAGGCTGAGGTAGGAGGGGAGGCTGAGGCAGGAGGATCATTGCAAATTCAAGACCAGCCTGGGCTACAAAGTGAGCTCAAGGCCAGCCTGAACTACATAGCAAGACTGTCTCAAAAAAGACCTGCGGGGGGTTGGGGGGGTAGCAGATCCTGATCTGATCTGAGGTGGGGGCCCAGGATTCTGTATTTCTAATAAGTGCTCACATGATGTGATCACACTTTGAGTAGCAAAATTGCCAGTGTTATTCCCTACAACTTCATGAAGTCAGGCAAGAATATTAAAATTTGAAGCTCTCAACATGTGATGGGGCTCTCTTTTAGAAGAGGGGTTAGGGGCTGGGGGTTTAGATCAGCAGCAGCACAGCGCCTGCCTGGCAAGTGCAAGGTCGTGAGTTCGATTCCCAGTACCAGAAAAAAACCAAAAAAAAAAAAAAACCTTAGAAGAGGTGTTAGTATTCCAGATAGTAATCAGACTAACTAGAATTTACTTGTTTGGTATTTCTTCTGGGGTCGTATCTCAGGTAAGAAACTTGCCTAGCATGCACAAGGCCCTAGGTTTGATCCCCAGCACTATAAAAATAAAATAAATGTGTAGGAAAAGAAATGTAAAATGTAAACTAACCCTAGGGAGGAAATAAAATTTTTGGAATCTGGAATTCAAGACTTAATAAGAAGATCAGATTATAAGACTAATAAACTAAAGATCATAACAAGAAATCTAACAGATCGCGTCTTCTAGAGTATCTGAGTATCACTTTTAGTCTTAAAACTAGCTGTCCCTGCTTTGTCCTCTTCCTGTGGAATTGCTACCAGGAAGAAAAATGCAACTAATGACAGTTATTGCATTTGCCACTTTGAGAACTTTTAGGAAATGAAACATGATTTTGGCTTCTTTTTGAGAAGGATGGATCCTCTTGCAATAATCTGTTCACATAAACTTGCAAAATGAATACTATGAAAGTCTTCACTTTAACTCTTTGGGAGTCTACTGTCCTTACAGGTCCTTCTCTCATTATAATTAGATATTCTGCAACATTTATCATCATCACTACTTGGTCGCTAGCAATTAGATTGCTTTGTTTAGACATTTGCTCACATTTGGACTCAAATTATTTATCAATCACCTTGATGGAGGATGCTTGGGAGTTTTTCTAGTCACGGTAACAGAGCTAAACTTTAGTTTCCCGTAACCCTCATGTGCCAACAGCACACATTTTTGAGATGACTGGCGATATAGTTTTGGGTATGGTTTGTAGCAAGAGAATAGACATTTTTCTCCAAAAGGTAACTGGTCTCTATGGGGTATAAACTTGTGATCTTGGCCTCATTATCACACTTTTGTAACCATCAGACTTAATAGGTACAGTAACCAAATGTCCAACTATAATCTTAAAACTGAGTCTCATATTTTAATTACCCAAGGCTTGTTTCCACTATGTAATTAAAAATCACTTTAGGACATTTCTGACTGTTTGATAGGGAAAGTCACAAAAGTAAAGCAGACAACCAAAGAACCTAACTTACTTTTCATCTTCCCTGTGTTTTCTATGACTGTGAAAGTCACAAAAGTGAAGCTTGCAGGCAAAGAGCCTAACTCACTTTACGGAGAGTGCTACGGTACCTTTTTCTTTTACTGAGGCTATAGCAGGTCTGATGTCAGTCACTTTAGAGACCTTTAGACCTCAGTGCTCATTTACTGCTAAAATGTACCCGCTCTGCTTCTGCATTATGAAGATCATCTGTCAACACTTTGAGATTTTCTCCTTTGTTATTAAGCTTGTGATGCTCTACACTGTCAGGTTTTTTTGCCAATTATAGTTAAGGTACAATGGTGTATTCACTAGATCAAAGTCTTACATTGGCGGTAGAGGAATGATTTGTAAGTCTTTATTCATCTGAATTGTACAATAGAACACCTGAGGAATGCAAATAATTCCTCTGAGGGCTCTGCAGGAAAGGCTGTTAAAATGACAGGGTAGAACTATTGTTATTTCAAATTGATGTTTTAGCCAAAGTAATTATTTTTCATCTTGTTTCATAACAATTCTAGTTTTATTAGTTATATTGACCATATATGTGTGTGTGATACTTTTATCTTACCTTGCAAATGGGCTGGTTTTATTTCATTTTCATTGAATCTGTATTTGCTAGTGATCTGCTTCTTTAAATTACATATTTGATTTTAACTTGTGTAATAATAGTATGTTACTAAACCATTGATGATAACATTTTAATATAGTTTTGTTTGAATAGTGTACCTCTCTGTAAAGTAACTTACAGTGCCATGATATAGGCAGAAGTACCAATTTAAATTTCCCCCTTTTTTCTTTTATCCTGTCCTTCATAATTCTGGATAAGAAAATATCTAGTTTAAATCAGACATTAATGGCCACATAGTTTATTCCAAAGCAAATCTTAGGATTTGGTCTGATTTTTAGAATATGAACCAAAGGAAACAAAAAAAGTATTTTGAAGATCAAAAGCTAGTAACATGTTAAATAAGTAGTTATCTTTGTATAACAAACATGTACGAACTGTTGTATGAAATTTTTATTCTTTTTCTTACCTTAAATACTGTTCAGTGAGCCATATTCTTAATTTTCTAACAACTATGATCCCCTGCCATTTTTTTTGATAGTTGAGTTTTGATGGGATTTGTGGTTTAGTTTTTGTTTTTCTTTTCCTATAAAATGGCACAGTGATTATTTAGAGGATTTCTGCCACAGTATTTTGCCATAATAGCTATTAAAGCCTTGGTTAAAGTATAGGGGTAAGTAAGACTGTGACATACATTAAAATTTTTTTAATATAAATTTCAATTGAATCTATGATCAGACCTGTGTACCAAACATACATCCAGAATCATAGCATGATACATATGCTATGATTGTTTGAAAATGAAAACGAGTAGCCCCTATTATTTTGTTTACTGTTTGCAAGCATTATTTTTCTACTTTCTTTATAATGTAATATGTATACCATTATTATCTCTGTTTCTACAGATGCAATAACTGAGGCTTAGAAAAAGGTTTAGTAGGACTACAGGTGTAGCTTACTGACAAGCATTTGCCTGGCATGTGGGAGGCCCTGTATTCAATTCTCAGCATTGCAAAAAGAAAAGGTTTAGTAATCTGCTCAGAGGTAAAAAACTAGAATTGGAACCTTTTAGTTTTATTTACTACACTTATTTCATTTATGTTCTAATTACCAGTTTTACAGAATATTCCCTATTTTGAAGGAAAAACAAAGCCTAACTCAGTGCTGTCTTCTAAGGTAACAGTATCAGTTTTCTGCCTGACTGGGCTTCCCAAATCCTTTGTGACTGAAGATTTCCTCTGCAGCTCTATTATTCATGAGTCTACAACAGTCAGGTTCATATGAATCAGTATGTGATGTTTGACTATATTCTTACTGTAATCTGTGCTTCTGTGCTTTTTGTTGTTTTATTTGGTTATGGTTAGCAAAAATCTCTCAAAATGACAACTGTAAGTTCTGTTAATTCAAGAAAACTAAACCAACATATACATATCTGGGTGGTATTCCTCACTAGCTGGCATTTTTAGGTGTGATTCCTGTACAAACAGAACTTTGCTCTTTTTAAAAAATACTTTATAAAGAAAAAAAGATTATAAAATTGACACTGTATTCCGGGTACAAGTGTTAATGCTGAACAAATTTAGTGTAAGTTTTAAAAGTTTTAAAATATTTGTAAAACAGTTCCTATAGATAATGTGCTAAAGTAAAACTAGATTACAGTAAAATATTATGGCGTGTACCTGAAGCAATTGCTGCCTGTTAATGCCTTGACCTTGGAAAGCTATACACAAAAAGATGGCATCATAAAACCGTGCAATTCTTATGAATATGTATGTGCTACTTGATAATAATGAATGTGGTACAGTCATGCATGCACTACAAGATAATGTTGTGCCCTTTTTTGTCTACAGGTTGATAAAAATTAAAGAGTGGGTGGACAAGTATGACCCAGGTGCCTTGGTCATTCCTTTTAGTGGGGCCTTGGAACTCAAGTTGCAAGAATTGAGTGCTGAGGAGAGACAGAAGTATCTGGAAGCGAACATGACACAAAGGTTAATTAGCATTCATTTTCCCTACACTTTATTATCAACTATTTCCTTGCAGTAATTTAATTGCTTGCGCTGATAGAATAATAAATGACAGAGTAATTACCATTATAAAGAGGGAATCTTCTCCTTTCTTTACCATGAGACAGAGTGAAAAGATTTATTTTAAATTAAGTTTTTAACTGTCATCTGTCATCTCCGTACAGTGTTTTAATTATAACATAGGTATTAGTTATGTATATTTTTGAGGAGGGATGATCGCCAAAACTCTTTCGTCATGTTCAGTGGGGGAGGGGAAAGGGTAAATCAGTTGCCATAATTTTTTCTGGGTAACAGTAATGTATTGTTAGAATGTTGAATTTCAGTCAAATAATTTTGCTTTTATGACCCAAGTCCAGCACACAATTAATATACTGGATGAACATAATGGGCTGGCTAGACCTAAATTTTATTTTTTTAATAGTAAACAAATTAAAATGATATCCTCAAGCTTGTACAATTAAAACCAGTTTTAGAAAGGTTGTTTTTAGAAATATTCCCTTACTTCCTGACCTCTTCAAATGTTATGAAAGATGAATGCTCATTTACTAACATCTTTAACATTATCTGCTTGAGATGAGTAATTTTACTCTATACCTATCTGTGGCATAGTCAACTTATATGTTGAGTGAATTTGTTTCATTTTATTTCAGTGCTTTGCCAAAGATCATTAAGGCTGGGTTTGCAGCACTCCAACTAGAATACTTTTTCACTGCAGGCCCAGATGAAGTACGTGCATGGACCATCAGGGTAAGATTCATACTTATTCATCAGCTATATCCAGTTCCACACTATTGAATTCAGATTGATATCACTGACTTTGAAGTTTGTCATGGTGGCGGTTAGCTAGTCATTACAGATGAGGTTTTTGTCCAGGATAACTTTAATTATTTGTGAGCTGCTGAACAGTGAAAGTGGAGCGGCATTGATTGAGGCAGGTAACAATTGATTCTGCCTATTACATAGTCTGAATTTCTTCATCCTGTAGAATCTGTCTACCCTCCTCCTGTGGTCAGAGATAAGACGCACCAGTATTGTGCTTGCTTAATCTGTGTGACTGGGTTTGTCTGCAGTGAAATTGATGTTGCTTTTCATTTTGTATTCACTAAGTTTGTTTGGGTTGCGGGTGGTTCTTGCCTCCTTTGCTTTGCTCGGATTACATTTTCAGCAATAAAAGCAATATGACATCATTATGCTTTTCATAGATACACAGTTGGGCTCAAAAAGCTAAATTCAGTGTATAATAATTCATGCTTTTTTATTTGAATTCATGGAGGTGATATTTATTTTTAGTGTTATATGTTCAACCTTTAAAAATGTGACTTGTATTTTAAATATTGATGTGTACTGAATTTGACCAGAAAGAATGACTAATTTATTCCCATAGGACAATAGAAACTGAACTGTAATGGTTTGCTTTTAAATGTAAATATTTTATAATACAGAAGTTGCTGTTGAAAAATATTTTGAAATACATATAGTCCTAAATAGTATGTTACAGAATATAAAATAATGCTAGAACTTTTAAATTCAGTGTCTCATTAAGTCTTTTATTATGCTTTTTTAAATATATGGTACATGATCAATTTTAGTGTTGCTTTGATTTCTTTGCTGTAACTTGTAATTTATTGTTACATTAATTTTGCTTTAATATGGATAGAAATACAGAGGCAGTTCAACGTGATGTTAAATGCCTTGTGTGAATGTGAGAGTCACTTTTATCTCTTCTCCCTTTTGTAAAAAAAATGTTTGACTTCTAACCAAGATCCTTTTATGTAGACTTTAAAAACAGTGTCAAAGCAAACCCAACTTGGTAAACAAATTGCCAGTGTTTATTTTTACTGTATATTTTAAAGGTATATTTTAAAGCCTTAAAACTTCAAACTGAAGTATGTAAAGCAGAAAAGCAAGCAAGATCTGGGCTTGAAAATGTGAAAGCTGGTTTATCTTAAGACTGATTATAAGTATCCATGATTTAATGTGCTAAGATATTTAGTCAGGTAAGCATCAGTGAGTAGCCATATTAACCCAATACATCTTTTATTGTAAAAACTGTGCTTTATAGTGTCAGACTCCTTATCACTTTAACATGCTTTATTAAGCAGACGTTAGGTCACCATTATTTCTCAAATTTCTTTCTATGGTTGTGTGTCTAGAATGTATGCCCTTGTAATTTAACATACAAGGTAATTATAAGACATTTCTCTTCCTATCTCAACTTGAATTTCCTTCATGATGCTTAGAGGCAGAGTATATTATGCAAGATGTTCAAAATTCTTACTAAAATTTCTTGAAGATTTGAAATCATTTGCTGAACATGGATTATGTGATTTGTTAGAAATGCCTTAAAACTGTCCCTTTATTGATTTTTATATGTTCTTTAGATGAGCAGAAATTTTGAGGGTTTTTTATCTTTTTAAAACCTTTGATAATTCAGCTTGAAAGTTACTTAAAAATCTTTATTTTTTGCACTGTGAAGAATAGAAAATCGAAATGAAACTTACACCAAAACCAGACTACCGCATCTAAATCAATAAAACCATGGATGGCTGTTAAGAAAAACAAAGCTAGGCTTCTTTAACATCCGCTCATCTGTCCACACTAAATCTGCTGCACAGATAGTGCCTGGTGTTGGAAATGTACTAATTGCATACCTGACATCTTAACTGGTATTCAGCTAAGTTTTAGGTGAACCAACCACAGATGAGAGAAGAGAAATTCTGTGCTTACAATCAAACATCTTAAGTCCAATTAGTTTTCTCTGGTCTTTCTCTTCAAAGAAAGGGACGAAGGCACCTCAGGCTGCAGGAAAGATTCACACAGATTTCGAAAAGGGATTCATTATGGCTGAAGTAATGAAATACGAAGATTTTAAAGAGGAAGGTTCTGAAAATGCAGTCAAGGTAAGGAATGATATTTTTTATTTTCATATTTCACAATTTTTGCACTGATGTGAAGATACCCATGAAAGAATGAATGATAGTTATCTTTTAAACTGTGTAATCTAAAGTAAAATAAGGTTATCAAGATTTAATTGTAAATGTTGACAGTTTTTTTTTTTTAGATCATTTGTAAAGATTGTTAATTTGTCAGTACTTGTGTGTGTTTTTTTCTGTAACTGAAAATAACAATAAACTGGCTTTAAGTCATTTAAAATAATTTCAAAGAATTGGTCAGTGAAAGATTATACTCATTATACTTAAATATATTAAATAACAGTCATAAGTACTTATGATTAATTTGAGGACAGGCGTAGAAACTTACTAAATAAGACCAGTTGTTGCTGAAACTTCGTAGTTTTACTTTTTTGTTTAAAGATCTTTAGGAATTTGATTTGCTTTCTCAACACTAGAGGGCAGGTCCAAAATTGTACTTTATTTTAGCTAATCAGTATAATTTGATTTGCAGGCACTAATAGTGAAGCAGTGTTACACATGAGTAGTAAAATGATTTTTAAATGTAAATTCTGTTGCAAAGTTAATTTTTTGAACATATTAGATTTTACTTACAGAAATCTAATAATCTTCAGTGAATAGATATGTCAGCTGATTAAACTGAACATTGTAGGAAGGCTTCTTTAATTTAAAATTTGAAGGCCACCTTGGAAATGTCATTGAATTTAAAGAGGAATGTCTCATATTTACTATGTCATAATTTAAAAGGAATATAAAAAGTTTATATCGTTTAGTTTATTCTCATTAATGTCATGAGGTTGTAGCGATCATGCTGGACAGCAGGACTTTGCTAGAACTGTTAGGTGAACCCCAGGAAGAGGAAGAGAAAAATCTTGATGTAATTGGTTCAGTGTTGAATGAGAGCCATTTTGATTTTCTCAAAGTGGAAGAACTTACAGTTTACAACTAAACAAAGCCATTAATTTTCCAGTCATATCATCTGCTTTGATACAGATAGATATACAAATATTGATATTGAACTTGGTCAGGAATACTAATTAAGCTTGGAAAAAACTGTCAGCATGCTGCATTATGTGAACATACATATTTTCTCATAAAGAACAAAATGACAGTATTTTCTGTTAACAAAATTCAAAAATCAGATGTTTATTTTTCATACTCTTATATGATGTCTGTTTTACCAATCCTTAGTGGATTTCACATCGTAATAAACTTGAAACATAACATGAATTGTGAATACTTTTAACAATTGAGAGAAACTACAATATATAGCAAAATAATATAACCTTATTAGAATATTTATTACTAAATAGGAGCTTTATACTATAAATGGAAAAGGTTGACCTCTGGCTTTTTACTGTAGAACACCATTAGACTTTTATGTGGTTTTAATCTCCAAAACTTGCATTTAAGACTTTAAACTCTGAGCAAAATGAAGCACTTATGAATTGCTTTATGGTCCTTTATTCAACAAATGTTTACTTGCATTTTGTAAGTAGATTTTAGGTTTGAGAGCAAGATTGTGTATATGTGTAGTATATATATATATATATATATATATATATATATATGTATTTGTAACACCAGTGCAGCATAACTAATTTAATGCCAGTCCTGTGAACTATATATACTGAATAGCTCTGTGTGGGCTTTGTAGTCTACAGGGATATCACATTATTAGCAATCATATCTGCTTAGGCAAAGCTGGCTTCTACAGATGGCTGCTTTCAAGTGCAAATGAACTGGTTAGACGTGTCTTGTTTAATACATACTCAAGATTCACAAATGGGTATTGATTTTTTTCCAACCAGTGTTTCTGATAGCAGTGGAAATGGATTAAATGGTCTCTAGAGAATTTAAAGGAACACTGTCACTATTAATAGTAAACTTGAGTGGTAACAAAGTATGTAAACTTACACTAATATGTCATGTCAATATGTTTAATTTAGATTGTCTATACAGTTTTATAACAGTTGGCTTTGGATTCTAGAAATAAGTAGCATATGGCCTTCAGTATATCACGTCTTTACAGAACTGTTAATAATTATTGATATCTTGTATAATTCTAGGGTACATTGTCTTTTTAAAACTAAGCTTCATTTTAATAGTATATTTATTAGTAGGCAATTTTTTTTTTTTTTAGTAGGCAATTTTGAATGTATCTATATAATTGAAAATATGCATATGAGGCCTTTTCAATATGATTTGTTGATTTTTAACCTTAGATGTATGATCTTTGTTAGTGTTTTTATTACTGATTAGTTTAATTTCACTTGGCTTTGAATATACCATTATCTTTGAAGGGAAGTACTAATCTTGTTGGGCAAAGGTTTCATGTTCTCAATGAATTGTAACAGGAGAACACTTTTGAGAATTTTTTCCAAAAGATCCTCAGGTTCTCCTTGTTGCCTAGTCAGTGGTGAGGTCATGTGCGACGGTGCTGGTTATGTGCAGTGTTAAGTGTGGGTGCTGAGAAGCCTGTTGTGCTTAGATGAGGTGAAGTGTATGTGCTGCCACTTATTTGTATTAAAATTACAGCAGATTACAAGTCTGGGTCTGCATACCAGCAGGTGAAATCAGTTGCTTTGCTGGCTACAAACAGAAAAATAATCTATCCAACCTGTTAGAGTCTGCTTGTAACTAGAGCCATTAGTCATTAAACTTCATCAATGATGAATTCTAGAATAAACCACTGTGTACAGTCATTGTCAAGACTACTTAAGAAACTACAAGGAAATAGTTCAAAATCTGTACACTACAACTGATTGTAATTTTTCTTACAGCATACTATCCTTTTGTCACCAAAGAATTTCTTTAAGCAGCTTTTTTTCTGCCTGGTTTGATCTGTTTTGGTACAGTCATTTGCTGGCTGTTTGCAGACACATCAGAAATGTACCATATACATGCTGTACCATAAACAGCATGTAATGAAACTTAATGATATTGGTATAATTATATTTATATACCAACAGTTTAGTGGAGAATACATTATGATTATGTATATATGGAAAGTCTAGTTCTGCCCAAGTCAGAAGTACTTTTCTTGTCTCCAACTCTTAGTTTTGAACTTGTGTCCTTTCTTATATTTTTTTTCTTTTTTCACTTTTGTTTCTAATGTTTTTTTAATATGACCCAAATAAAACCTCTGTATCTGTTTCTATTTGCTCTATGTATTCAGCTATAAAGTAATAACCCATTTCCTCTGTATTCCCTATTTTTCAGGCAGCTGGAAAATACAGACAACAAGGCAGAAATTATATTGTTGAAGATGGAGATATTATCTTCTTCAAATTTAATACACCTCAGCAACCAAAAAAGAAGTAAAAAATTTTAGTTATTGCTCAGATAAACATACAACTTCCAAAAGGCATATGGTTTTTTAAATTAAAATTTCTGAAAACTGAAGGGACAACTAAAGTTGGGGTAATGGAAATCTTCTACAAAGAAATTATTTTTATTTGTTTTTAAATTATAAAATACTGTGCACTTCCAATGAAATGTAAGTCACTAAATGTGAACAACCTTGCTTTTCATGTGATTAAGACCCTACTTCAAATTGTAGAAGCTTTTCAAGAACCATATTACTCTCATGATACTTCATTAATCTCCATCATGTATGCCAAGCCTGCCACATTTGACAGTGAGGACAATGTGGCTTGCTCCTTTTTGAATCTACAGATAATGCATGTTTTACAGTACTCCAGATGTCTACACTCAATAAAACATTTGACAAAACCAGCCTTGGTGTGTTTGGGGATGTCTGCATTGACGGACTGTGGTGTGCTGAATGCGATACGGCACCTGGTAGTTGCTGATTACAGAATTTTAAGGCGTGTGTATGACACAGTAACTGGCAATGTGGGGCAGCTGCAATTGTATCTTAAAGTGAGTCTTTTATGGAAATCAGAAGAATAGTATACCAGGGATTTGTCTCCAAAAAGTTAATTAATTTGTAGATGGACATTTAATCTTTTCTTTGAAATTATTAAATTGTGAAAACTGACCCATTCATGGCTAGTGGGTTATATTTTTGTTTCAATTCAGCAGTACAATCACTTTTCAGCCTTTTGGCTAAGACCTATTATCTGTTCTTATCAATTAATTCAGCAGTGCATGCAAAAGTTCATATACTGGTTTTGAAACGACTAAACACACTATACTTTTGATCATTTTAAAACTTCCTTCATAATTGCTATTAAAATATTTGGGGACCAGTTGAAATTTTACTATATATATGTTAAGCACTTTTTAAAATAAGAATAATGATAAATTAATTATGTGGAGATCTTTTGCTACTTAGCCTTCTTTTATGATGTAACTCAGAATTCTCTCATCCCTGGGCTCTCCTTTTCCTTCCCCATTAACACACTTATGAGATCTGCTTCTCTCCATCCACTGCCCTTTTGTTTCCCTGACTGTAGGACTGTTTCCATGGAACGCAGATGCAAACCCAGGCCAGTCTTTGCTTCTGCTGTATTGCTTTGCCATATTAAAGATAGAGCAGTGTATGTAACACTTTCTGAATATCAAATAGTGGTCCTTCGCTAAGATAAAAATTAGTAAACTGCAGTGGAGAAGTAGGAATAAAACTAAGTGAAGGGTTAAAGGAAAGAAGTAAGTAAAACATAAAGGAAACTAAGCTACAAGTGTAGTTGACCAAGTTGGCCATGAAAAGCTCTTGTTTTATTTCTGTGTTGGTGTAATGTATACACTTGTGGTCTGTGAGATATTTTCAGCAATATAAGAAGAAATCATATATCTTAACTTTGATCCTTCACCAAAGTAAATCTCATAGACTTCTTAAGTTTGAAATCTCATTAAAAAGCTCTTTTAAGATTGTGTGATTTTTACTTTAACTTCTAAGGTGATTATTGCATTTTGCAGAACAACATTAATAAGAGAAAGGAGTTCTGATTTAACTGCACTCATGGGAGTTGAAATTAAAGGTTAAAAATATTTAATGTTTAATTTGGTTTAATTTTTACATTCATGTACAAAGTTGCATTTTCTACAAAATTCCAAGAATTCCAGAATTCCAAGAACTGTTGCCAGCAAGGTATGTTCTATATCTGAATGTTTTTCACTCCTTTAATAATTGGTGAGAGTTCATGTATTGTTAGGATTATAAATAAATATTTTCTGAGGGGCTGGGGATTTAGCTCAGCGGCAAAAGCGCCTGCCTGGCAAGCACAAGGTCGTGAGTTCGGTTCCCGGTACCGGAGAAAAACCAAAAAAAATAAGAAATAAAAAATAAATAAATATTTTCTGTATACCTATAGCTCAGTCTTCTAGTTAAAAGAGATTTGTACTCAAAGCTTGCAAACAGTTCATGATAGCACTTAATTGAGGTTTCTCACGTTGCCTTCATAACTTGCACTTTGGGCATGGCTTAGATCAGAACCGGAACTCTGCAAGAAGCACAAATACTTTTTATCACTCATGTAGTTCTGAATGAAGCTTCTGTTCACTTACAGTTTGCCAGTGCAACTTCTATTAAGTTACTTGACCACTTTGAATCTGACCACTCTGTACCTTCTTCATGGGATTTTTGTGAGGATTCAGTTTACACATTAAAATGCCAAAAGTGCCTAGTGCCTAGTAAGAGCTCAGTAAATGTTAGCAATTCTTTTTTTGTTCCTCTTTTTGAGACAGGGTTTCACTGTGCAGTTCAGGCTGGCCTGGAGCTCACTTTGTAGCCCAGGCTGGTCTCGAACTCCCAACAGTTCTCCTGCCTCAGCCTCCCTAGTGCTGGGATTACAAGCGTGCCCCACCACGCCCGGCTTAGCAATTCTTTTAATGTAGTGTGTAGCATGCTTTCTTCTGGTGTCCCTCTCCACTCAAGAGAAAAAATTACAGAAATGAAAGTTGTTCGGTGAGTGTAAAATTAGAGAAATACGAATGGATATCTTAAATTGAAGGTTCTTCTGTCTACTTGAACAAATCAGTTTATTAGTCTTGCCTCCATCCGGTCACAGTGAAAAGATGGGCACATATACTTAAGTGTTTTTCTTCTAATAAGACACAAAAACAGAGTGAGCATTTTCACAGTTCAGCGTCACAGACTTTAGCTCTAGGGTGAGCCACAAATTTCTTAATGAAACATGAAAGGAACGCAGTCATGTGAGTCAGGGGCCTCAGATCAGCATTCTCTTTCACTCAGTTTATGCTTCTCAAACCAGAGAATGGCTTGTTTTGATGCCATCCTAGGGGAGCATTTCTGAGTATGTTTCCTATTCTGAACAGCAGAGTTGCTTTCACACTTTGGCAAGCATCTAAGAAGGGAGATGTCTTTATAAGCTGGCTGTGTATGTGGCTGCATTTGACGGCTCCAGAGGCAGCTGGGAAAGTCAGTGCATTCTGTTGGCACAGCATGTGGGAAGAGTCGAAAGATAGCGATATGTACTAGTCTTTGAGTCTCCTTGTGGTCCTCATACAAACTGTCATATTTGTTTCCTTATGTGATCCTATCTTGGTTTTCCTACAGTATTGGGAATAGGTCACACCTTTTATTTACATTCATATTTTCTTAGTTCTCAATATAGTATTATAAAACAATAGTCAGAATCACACTATAAACTCCTTTTGTAATACTCCTAAGAAGTATTTGCAACTGGCATGTGTGCCCTCCCTTGTGCTATTCCTTGCAGAGAATGCATTACTAATAGTACATATAGTGACAACACCCTCTGGGATATGCCAAGAACCTTCATCTTTGTGAACAATAAGTCAGCTACCCAAAAACATGGCCAGTACCTGAGGACTGGTACAGGATGGAAACAGGAAACTGAGCATTCTGTAAAGTACTCTTAGAGTTACCATGCTCCTGTTGTAACAGCTCTAGCAGACATGGACATTTATTCTACAGACAGACATCTACTCTGGCAGACAGACACTTTGTGCAGTTGTTGCCATTACAACTTTCTGGAGCTTGTAGCTCCTGCTCTGTGTTATGAAAGCAGCTCTAGAGAGTGAAGAGAGTTCTTTTATCAAATCTGAATTCCACTAGATGTCACCGGGTGCAAGTTACTCTTCAGGCCTTAAAGTCTCTGTGACTGTAAAGAAAACAGTGCTACTATGTTAATAGATTAAATGGCCCAGTGCAAAAGGACTAGGGAGAGTTTCAGGTATGTAACAGCCATTCAGTAAATGTCATACAGTTCCTTTTAACATCACCTCAAAGTCAGTGCCATTAACAGGCCCGGTCCTTAAGTGCCATACATGAGAAAATTATGAGACATATTTTCTGTATTTACTTAAATACTTGTCTGGCAGAAGAGTTAATTTTTTTAATGTTCGTGAAGAATACCCTGAAGATTTCTGAACCCTTAAATGTTCACATGTTTACAACATGCTAAGGCTTACTGTAAATAATTTCCACACTAGAAATTTGAGACTAGCTTAACCCACCTATTTCTGTAAATCAGGAATTATTGGGCAACAGGAAGGCTATGGTGTGGCTTACTTGAGGTCACCTGTCTAGATTAATGCTAACCAGAATGACAACTCATGAAATAATGAACTACGTTTCAAAAATTACAAATCAGTTATTTGAAAGTAAGGATTCATTTTCTCTTGAAACTTTCAGAGCACCCCAAAAAAGTCTAATGTAATATCACTGTAACACTATAGGGGGTCTCAGCTTGCCAACAGGCCGTCCAGAATCTGGCCACAGCTTACTTCAGTTTTCTTCCCTTATTTCTACAGAAATTAAATTCCTTAACCAAAATTGCACAGCTGTTTACCTTCTGTCCAAAATGAAATGTTCATAATTTTAAACCCAGTACACAATAGCATTATTTTAATTGAATGACCCAAGTTGGCCTTTACAAGTATAAACAAGTTTCAGAGAATAGAAGGAAAATCCCACCAGTTTTGACCAAATAAATTTGAAAGTCTCCAGCAATCCACTGTTTTGCCCCTAAAGCCAACCTGGTTTACTCAAGCAGTTCCTTTAAAAAAAGAAAAAAAAGAGGGGGTGAGAATACACTTTTTTTTTTTTTTTTTTTTTTTTTTTTTTTTTTTTTTTTTTGACAGTGTCTTGCTACTCAGTTCAAGCTTGCCATTCAGTTCACACTGGCCTTGAACTCACTGTGTGGTCCAGTCTGGCCTCAAACTCACAACAATCCTCCTGCCTCAGTCTCCCTGGGAATCCAAAGAAGGAAGTAAAAAGAAACTACAGTGCTCTGAAAAAGGAGATTGACAAAGATACCAGAAAATGGGTTATTCTGGGGTGGGAAGAACCAATATAGTGAAAATGGCCATACTCCCAAAATTGTTACACAGATTTAACACAATCCCAATCAA